AGATGGGGCATATTGGTCCACTTTGCATTCTTGTAATTAACGTAATTTTTTCTTATTTACGAGATATATTAAGGATTTATAAGTATTTAATTATTGAGCCAGATGAACATGCAACATTTTAAAGCATTTACCATTAATCTATCATAATTGTGTGAAGATTTATAATAATTTAAAGAAAAAGTGTCACAACTAGCCCTGCTCTACCCTACTTTTTAAGGAATTATGTTACATGTTTTGAAACAAAAATAATAAAAGTGACGTTTGATCATATATATTTCTAAGAGTATATTCTTTTTGCTAATATTATTTGATTAGTCAATAATTTTCTGTTAAGTTGAAAAATAGTTTTCCTCTTCCCTAAAAAACTTTTATGAATTGTGTCACTTTTGAAGTAAAAGAACGGTAGTTTTTATTATGAGTGTACTAATATTATAGCAGTAATAATTATGATAATATGTACATAATTATGATAATATGAAATTATAGTCATAAATACAAAAAATACTGTTCTCTCAGTTTATGATCCAATTATTAATGTCAATACATTAAATTATTTTTAAAAGCATAAGATTATGATGAAGTAGCAGTTTTAATATTCATTAAACCGACATTGTAAATGAAAAAATTACGCGACGGCCCTTTCTGAGGGTCATGAATTAATAGGAAGTGCTGCGCGCGCGAGAAGTCGTAATTAAGCGTTCGCACGAAGCAGAGTACAAGCTGAGAATCAGCTTCAACAAAAAACTCTCTTAAATGTTCAGGAGAAAGATGCCGCGTGGTACTTTTTTATGCGGGGAAAACTCTGCATACAAGGACATTACTCTGGATCGCAGGGTGTAAAGTTCGTTCGTTCTCGTGCCCACTCTCCTGTGCTCTTACGCTTTTGTGCGAATATTGCCGTGTACTTCGCTCTTATTATGACGCGTCTAGCATGATAAAGGGGTTCCGACGACCGCCTAGAAGGCTGGAAAGCATTTACGCTGTGGAACCGCTTTACCGGAATGCGGAGAAGATTTCTCGCGTTCGACGTGGAGTGCCCGACAAACGCATAGCGCATCTCGATGCCTGTATTTAATATCAACGTGAGACTCCTGTCCTCCTTCAATAAGGAACTATTATATACTCAAAACGGTCAGCCAGATTTTTTTATTAAACTTGCTCGGTTTACTGAAGAAAGAACTGAGAGAAGTTAAGGGAAAAACTCAATGTCTAGATTAAGAATGAATTAATTTCTTTAATCAGAAGACTGCCCTTTCCAGCCCTTCGGAGAGCTCAGGAGTGCTGGATCTGCATTTAAACGATTGGGAGAAATTCTTTCTGTAATCAGGCTTTTCTCTATTCTACATGCGCAATTAAATCACATTTAATTAAAAAGGTTGTCGGATTTATTATTGCCATTTATTTTACAGGACTGCGACATTATCTTATTTCATCTTGAAGAAGCTTACATAACAATTATTAGAAGATAAAATAAACCGTTCAGTTTCTCGTTGCCTCCGAAAATCTAGCCATATTATTATCAAATCTTTTTATGATCATGTAGGGTTATTATACCGGTCATTAATGATTATTGAACCAAATGATTGTTGAAGAAAAATATTAAATAGTAGGACTTAAAATATAAATTGCAAATTAATTGATATTTCATACATCTAATTTTTATAGACTTGATTAACATCATTTTTTATTTGAAAATATTATATAGAATAAATATTATATAGAATAAAAAGGAAAATTAAAGTAAGATACATACGTATCTTACTTCAATGAATGTACCTATAATAGAAAGAATGGTGGTAAAATAGGATTAAAATTTACCTATACAAGGTGAGGCATTTAAGACAGGTCATCTGAATAACTCGCTTGTTTTTGACAATAGAAGGAAAAGTACCAAACAAAAATTGCATGGTTTCAAGGAGGACGTATTTTGGTCATGTTGTCTTTTTTCTAGGTGAAGGCGCTAAAAAGATATAAAAGTCACTTCCATTTTCTTAAACGGAATTGTATGATTTTTTTTACACAATATGATTCCTCTAATTATTCTGCATATAAAAGTGTTAAGGTAGTGACATCAAAAAATCAATAGTTTACGAGACATTTTATATTTTATTGTGGCACATATTGGCAAAATATTATAAATAACTAGTAAACTATTAATTTTTTTATAACCATACCTTAATACTTTTATGAACAGTATAATGAGATGAATCAATTGATGGAAAGAAAATACATAGTTGCTTTTAAAAAAATATCCATTTTGCAAAGATATTTTTTAAAAGCAACTATGTTTTCTTTCCATCAATTGATTCATCTCATTATACTGTTCATAAAAGTATTAAGGTATAGTTATCAAAAAATTAATAGTTTACGAGTTATTTAATATTTTATGTCAATAAAATATAAAATACCACAATAAAACATAAAATATCTCGTAAACGATTGATTTTTTGGTATCACTATCTTAACACTTTTATATGCAGAATAATTAAAAGAATCATATTGTGTAAAAAAAATCATACAATTCCGTTTAAGAAAATGGAGGTGACTTTCATATCTTTTTAGCGCCTCCACCTAGAAGAAAGACAACATGACTAAAATATGTCCTCCTTGAAACCATGCAACTTTTGTTTGGCACTTTTCCTTCTATTGTTAAGAATAAGCGAGTTATTCAGGTGACCTGTTTTAAATACCTTACCCTGTATAAGTGAAATGTTTGAAATCGGTTAATTTTTTTACAACTTTTCTTTCGCAATTTTTTTACGTTACATGGAAGTCTCATTTTGTTGCAAATATTTTCTAATAAACAAATTGTAATTGCAAACAAAAGAAATGCTTTCTTCTATTCTAGATGTGAAAAAAAGAGATGAAAAAGAAGAGACAGAAAAGAGAGTACTGCACAACTTCTCATTTTCACCGAAATTCCACAATATATTCCTATGTCTTACAGCAGGCCTGTCCATTACTTTACTCGCGAACTAAACGCTTCCATCTCTCCATCATTTCATAGAGCAAGATTAAGAGAAAGCAAAAAGAATACGCTGGAGCTCTGTTCCGTTATTACATTGTAAAAAATACAGTGTTTGCGTTTAAAACATCTTTGCAAAACAAACATTTAATAATAAAAGATATTTCAATTTTAAACATTTTAGGGTTTTAGAGTTTAAATTCAAACACATAGTGTTTTGTTTAATGAAAAAGTTTAAACCTAAAACATCTTTAAGTGTTTAAAAAACGGAGACAAGAATACCCGGGGAAATTTCTGAACGCAACTTAAGCCTAAGTTATAGGGCATAAAATCATAAAATTGTGAAATTGATGAATATAAGTGCTCGTGCAGTATCTCCTCTTTTTCTCTCTTTCTCTCTCTCTCTCTCTCTCTCTCTCTCTCTTTCTCTCTCTCTCTCTCTTTCTCAAAAGCACCAATAAGGAACATTTCTTTTATTTACATAATCGTTTATTAAAAAATACTTACTGTAAGGTAAAACTTTTGTATAGAAAAAAGTTTCCACAAAGTTCCCCGAATTTTGGACAATTTTAAGCTTCGTATTCTATATGATGTGAATTTGGACCGATGAGAATAAATCTAATTACAATCCTGCTGTCAATTTAATAAGTGATATTACTACTCCGGTTCTGCTCAGGATTGCGTTTTGAAACCGAAATAGATTTCGGCGTGCAGTTTGCAGAATCAAATATATATATATATATATAAATTTATACAGAAATATTTAAACACTAACTTGTAAGATCTGCTTTGACCGAATATAGAAACTTTTTATTTTATTAGCTTCGTATTCTAGTTCAGGCAGTGTAGAGATTGACCGATTTGAAACATTCTTTAAAAATTTTAACTGTTTTATTATCCTTTATAATATTCTATATTTATTTAATTACATATGTATGTTTACTAAAAATATATATATTTTTTCTTTTTTAAAAGGCAAACTTATACGCTAATTATTTACTAGTTATACGCTTAATTAATAATCGATGCATACGTACGATCATTGATTTAGCTCACCAATTATTTACTAACGTTATAATGTTTTTTTTTACTTTTTAAATCAAGACTATTATTTTTTATTTTTTTTAAAGATAATATGTGACGTTTTTTTAAATAACCAGTTATTATTATTGAGTGATTTGTTCTTTTCTTACACACGTACTATAATTCTCGACATACATCGTGAATTTTTTCATATTTGTTCATTGACTGAAATGCAGTGAACATACGAGAGCCTTATCCTAATGCTTAATCTATAACTCATCCGATAATTTATTCGTTTATGTCTTTTTTTTCTTATTCGTTTACGATTTTTCTTCAGGTGATGGAAACGTCAGCTTCGAGGAGTTCGTCGAAATCGTCAGCAATATCGGCGGCGCGAGCACGGCAGCGCCCACAGATCAACATCAGGAAGAGCAGGAATTGCGAGACGCCTTTCGGGTGAGTGAAATAAACGATCCCTCGTCGCTTGTTTCGTTTGAATTTACGAATCACATGGTTGATAGCTTCTTTGTCCTTTTGGATCGGTCCACACGATCATCCGATAAATCTCTATCTCCCGCTTCACGTGGGCGAAGCGCTCGAATATCAAACGTATAGCATATTTTCTCTCACGATCCAGGCAATTTTTGGCTGGATTACCGTGACCGTTCTCAGTCAACTTTCTTTCCTGAAGGAAGCAAGAGGATTTGCTCTTGGCGTTCTTAAACGAGCCGATAGAGCCGTTCTTTAGATAGAGACTAACACGAGACGACAGCCACTTTATAAACTACGCCTTGGCGAAGACACTCTTTAGAATACGATGCTGTTCATGAAACGCAAAAGTTTGTAATGATCGCGATATGTATCATGAATACTTGAGTGCTTTATGCATATTTCATGCATCATATTAATAAGTTTTCTGCTGCTCGCACGGGTGTTTTAACGGTTAAGTAGCTGGAGTTAATCCGTTCTAACTGTCGAATATGTATCCCTTAAGCTTTACTTTCCGAGAGTTTAGGATTCAAGTTCTCTCACTTCTGGAATGTCAGAACCGTCGAATTATTCGCATAATCTTTCAAATTAGTTGCGGCCTGCTGGTGGGACACGCTGGCTCGCGCATAATAATAAGTGTTTCGCAAATTCTAAACGTTTTGAGAGATATTCAACTTCGTGATTATTGATTATACCTCGGTTGTTTTGAAGTTATATATAATTAAAGGATTAAATATTCAAGAAACAAGCAATTTATCTTTAAATTGTTTAAATATAATGATTTTCTTCTTGATACATACACACGTACACGCACGCACGCACGCACGCATATATACATATAATGAGTATAAAAACAAAATTTTATACTTTGATTAATATTTTGAACACTCATTTAAATAAGAATCTCTGGGCTTTGGTTCCTGAGGAAATTATATTTACTACATATTACTTATACCTACATATTTATCCTGTAATATTTTACACTTATCTTTCTTTATGATATCAATAATGACAAAAATGAAGAAAATATTATTTAAAGTATTAAGTAACATTTTCTTATTTATAAAATTTTACAAATTGTTATTAACAAAAACAAATATTAAACTGTTATATTTCCCGTTTCTATTTGATTCTTGCCGGAACAAAAAATTTATAATATAACTATTGATAGAGAACAATTTGGCACTCAAATTTAAAAAAATGGACTTAGTTTTTGTAGGAAATAATCCTTCAATTATTACATTCTTGTTAAAGCTTTTTTATTATTAATCTTTTTTTATTTTATACACTTTATATATTTTATACACCGCAGTATACACCAAATATAATATGAGATCTTACGTTTCACATATAAATTATATAAATTATACAATGAGAGAGAGAGAGAGAGAGAGAGAGAGAGAGAGAGAGAGAGATGCCTGGAATCGGCTTGGGAATAATAAATAAATAATAGCTAAATAAATAAGCAAACAGATCTGATTTATACGAGAAATTTGATTTATGAGAGCCATGAAATAGGGATCAGGAAACCTAAGCTTAATGGTTCCTACAGTGAGTGCAATCCTCGATCTTTCTATAATAAAATAAATTTCGATCCCGTGCTGCTCGCCCCTCATCGAAATTTCCGACACGTTTATCATAAATGTAAAAAATATATAAAACTCGACATCGATTCCATAATACCCACAGTTCGCACACATCATGTATAAAGTGATTAATTAAATAAGTATTATAAATATATATAATAAGATGCGAAACGCAGAATCAAAAAATCTTTGCTTGTAATTTTTACTGCTTGTTAACTTGTATCGTAAAATACGTGCATATACATGTTTATATACGTATATAACAGCTCGATGAATGGCTCGAGTAGAAATCGTATACATATTTTAGTTGCTTCCGTTGAAGTTGCTTTACGCAAAGAATTTCGCTTATTGCTACAGAAAAATGTTTGGCAAAGAATTATTTGATTTGTTTCACTTCTTTTTTCATTTCCGCTGTGTGTCTGTCATTCATGCTATTTCAATGAATCCTATTGAATGATACCACATACTGTTACACTGTTAAATCTATAGTGCCAAATTTAATCTAATGTGAGTCGCCACTGCTCCTATTAAATATATCGTTATTTTTTACTAAAACGATAATTAAATTTGACACTATATCGTGTCAATTTGATCCTAACGCTTTCCTTTTAAGTTAAAATTGCGTTGTAATTTAAAAAAATTTTGATAATGTCACCACTTACTTAACCAATTTTTGAGCTTTTAGCATAGAGAGTATCAGCTATGTTTATCGATTACCATCTCATTAATACCGAACTTTTTGCCAAACCGAGAAGTTCGATCAAACTATTTAACTAAGAAGTAACTTGCATAAAATTATTTTTAAGAGTCTGATGTCTCGTAGCATCTTTGATTTGGTTTGAGAGAAATGAAGCAATGCTTTTTTTCCAGGATATTGGAGACTAGTTTTGTATTATTGAATCTTTCTCCCAATAATGCAGAATCTTCTTGAGTTATTTACACTAATAAAGGTAAAAACTAAAATGCCCTTTGCATTTAAAAAATGCAAACATGTTTGTGGAGTGAAATTTTATTCAGAGAATATTCTTTGAAACGAAGTCTTTTGGAAACAAACTGTTTAACAATTCCACCCATGTAATCACAAGAATCTTTCTCATGTAATGTGATACCAAAAAAATTTCACTCAGCTTTAATATTAAAATCTATGTTTTTATATAAAAGAAATCATAACGTAGAGATAAAAACTTTTAAAAAATTTTTAACTCTCTTGAAGCACGTAGATAAGTAAGTGATGATATCAAATTTAAAAAAAAATTTTTTTTTAATTATGCAGCAACCAGCCCTGATTAAAATGGCATGGAATGACTGACTTTCTTGCATATAGTTCAATCAAGTAACATAAAAGAGATTAGTATATTAGAATAAGAATATTCTTTCTTTCATCGGGAAATTATATACGAAATATTCTTGAAAAATTAGACAATTAATAGATGTCCTATTCGCTTAATCGGGAATCTAGATAATATTAGTACGATATATAAAGACATACATACATACATGTAGACAGGATCATACGATATGATTTTATGAACATGAAACACTAGAAGATAAAAGGATTACGGAGCATTTGCGTTTTCTTGCTTGTTGTCGACAAAAATATTTTTCTATGAATAATGCATCTGCCCATCGTATACGCGTGCCTTTATGTCAAACCAGGAGATAAAGCAAGATCAGCGCAAAGTACTCCGTTTAATGTGACACAGCTTCCTAAACAGTTGCCTGAGGTCATCATATCTGAATCGCAAGAAAAAAGTTACATATGTACACTTTTTTAAAATAGATAATTATTTTGGGGAGGCAAAAGTAGGTATAATTTTTTATGCATTAAATGTACGGAAAGAACTGTTTTGAGAAAATATCTAAAAATTTAGCTAGATATAGATCTAAAAATAATTAGATCTAAATAATTATGTAGGATGCTCAAGTTAGTCGTTAGAATATCAAACTTTTGTAGAATTGCTCATTATCCTTTACATATAACTATTTTGATACTCTAACAAAATTTTTTTTCAGATTTGTATTTAGCTAAATTTTTAGATATTTTTGCAAAATTATTTTTTCCGTATATAGGATTTCTTATATTAATAAAAATTGTCAATACAAATTATGTTCTAGAAATTTTATTTTATTAAAGTTTTTAAATCATAGTTTTTATTGTTCCGCTATTTTGGATTTTAAAATTTGGAGATCTTGACCCCACATTAAAATTCAATGATCCAAAAGTTCCTAGAACACTAACAGATATTTGAATTATTTATTTACATGTACAGTAAAAAATATCGACTTTTCCATATTTTTCAATGATTATCAATTTTTAATAAAAAAAAAGACAATGTAGCGGAAAAATCTGAAAAAATTCTGAAAATTACTTTAGGATATCTTGAATGAGTGCCTAAATTGCCGTTTTAATATGATAATAGTTTAGTAGAAAATGCATTTTTTTTAAACACAAATTTTGACTACTTGTTTATAGTTATAGATAGTAATTATGTAAATAAAAATATGTTGTCTCTCTCTTCTCTCTTCTTCTCTCTACTTTTTTCTAACATTTATTCATGCTCTAAGGACTCTACGAAAACAAAAAAAAACTGATCTTACCACTTAATTTAACGTCAAAAAATTCATCAAAATAATTGAAAACTAAGCGGAAAAAGATGGATCTCTGAAAGACCCATCATGCGAAGGGTTAAAAATACAGCTGGTAATTTTCTTCCCACTACGGGAGATCAAGAATGCACCTGCATTCGTGCGTGAAATTAATTATTATGGATCGAAACCGTTTTGCGTTTTAAATACACGTGAAATCTTGGGACCTCCTTAAGGGAATTTAACAATTTATCCCGATCATATTCGCGGAAAATGTAAATGGTCCGCCGAGAGAAATAGGCACCCCTAAAGACGCAAGGCGGGAATTGTCGAAAGTTTCAAAAACTTCTAAAATGAAGGTAATAAATCCACGGGCGAAAAGTCTCTCTGCGTGAGATAGACTCGTAAGGAGACTATGTGAAAACGGATTTTTGCCCTGAAAGCCGGAGAGAAAGAGTTTACAGAAGGACGGAAAACACGGAGTGTTCGACTTCGTTGGAAGCACGCTGCATCTTTCACTTAGAGGGTGTACGGTACTCTCTTACAAGTAGGTACGCTGGTATTTGTTCAGACTGCCTTACCAAGTCGGTCGACCGCTGCAATGTTAGTCACCGCCAAGTCTCATTCAGTCACGAAGGACATGCGACACTTGATTTTACGGAGTCCCGAATCTAATTCTCTCTCTTACTCTATCGCGTCTGACCTCCGAGACGAGCTTGTTTCGACATTCCATCCGAATCGAAGAATCGTCGGGGAGACGACGAACAGCATCGTAAATTGTGTAACAAGTGCAAT